TTCTCTTTCCCCAATGCTTGCCTGAATTGGGTATTGAGGTATGGATGTTTCAATGTCTTTCCATCTGGATATATATTCATCATTACACCAATGTAAAAGTGGGCACAGCTGAGATGCATAAAAATAGTTCTTTAGGTTTGGAAGTGCCATTCCTCCTTTATCTTTTGGCAGCTGTAGTGTGGTGTATCGGACCCTTGGTTTTTTACTTTCCCATATAAATCTTGATATAAGCTTATCCCATATATTAAATTGGGATTGTGGTATATTTATGGGTAGAGCTAAAAATACATACATTAGACGTGGTAATATGTTCATTATGATCACCCTTACCCTATCATGGAGCCCTAATGGGTAGGTGGACCATCTTTCTAGATCTTTTCTTATATCACTGTTAATTTGTCCATAGTTGTTCTGGTAGAGTTTTGATACGTTTTTGCGGACCCGTGGTTTTTTATGTTATTTTTTTTATTAACACGAAATTTTAAGTCCACTATTTTGCCTACATACTCACATCAGTTAAAAATAATATAAAATATCCCCAAGAAGTATAAAAGATAAAAATATGAACATGTTCATTATTGACTCTGGATCAGTTTTTACCCCACAGCCATAACCCCACTGAACAATAAACCCCACTGAACAATAAATGACACTGAACAGTAAATGACACTGAACAGTAAATGACACTGAACAGTGAGTCACAGTGACGGTGGAAGGGCAGCATGTGAACATGTGACCGTCCTGTATCGGCCGGGCTACATGTGGTGCTGATGTGAGGTTGTCCAGTGTTGTGTGGATGATGTACATTGTTTTAGTTATTTATTCTATTTGTGTGAGTCCGTGTCCTGACTGCACCCTCATGTCGTTGGGCACCTGTGTATAATGACAATAAAGATTCTTGAATCTTGACACTAGCTGTGTCTGTTTGTAAGGACACGATGCGCCGCTGAATCCAAGACTTCCATCTCCTAACAGGCACGTCCTGTGATTTAAGGCTGCGTCAGCCAGTTCTTTCTCAAGGCCTTTTCTATTGAGCATCAGCACAGGATGTGTTCAGGTGTTCCTACCTCCTCCTGACCTTCTACAGTGTTCAGTTGGCGTCCATATGAACCAGCAGTCTTGTGTGAATTTTTCTTTGGTTTTGTGTGTTTTCATTTCTCTTTAACCAAGTGCAGCCACATTTTTTACCATTTCCTTGTTTCCGTTCCTCCTTCCTGCCTGCACCAACTGACAGTGGAGAAGATGTCTGTCCTGGACCTCAGCCCCCAGCAGGGGGATGAACCCAGTCTAACCAATATGGAGCTGAGCCTGAACAGCTCCGAGCTCTTCACAGCACAATGCAAGAGACTGCTCGTGGAAACTGACAAAGCATGCAAACGCATGCAAGAGGATGACAACAAGCAACTCGGTAAGTTCAAAATCAGCTGCTCTGTGTTTCGCTCACAAGGATGATTGCAAACACTGCTGAGGATGTTTTCTCTTCTGCTCCTCAGACCGGTGGATCAGAGACATCCAGTTTGTGAAGAAGGAGCTGGAGCTGAAGCTGGAGGAGATGACTCTGGAGATTGATGCTCTGGTGGTATTGCAGGGCAGAGTGGTGAATGCCCTGGAGGCCACCAAAGAGCCGCTGAGAGTCACTGTTCTCTGTCTGGAGGAGAGGTGAGGCTGGGAGATAATGGAGAGGAGAAGATCTTTAACAATCTGGAGAAAACATGTCGGACACTTTTATCTCTTACAAATGGCGGCTTTACGTCCGCTATCAGGAACTCTACACCTGAACACTTTTAGAACTAAAATAAGTGAGTGAAGCTCTGTGAATTGAAAAATGGAAAGCATTCACGTCAGATTCATCCTCTCATTCTTCTCATTCATATCCTGTTAAAGAGGCTTTTTCTGATTCCAGACACGACCGTTGTCTGACTGTACAGTTAATCATGATTCCTCGCAACTAAAAGAAGGAAAATTCCAGTAATTACTGACAATAGCAACATAATGATGTCAAAATATTAGAAGTCTATCATCATTAAGTTACCACAACATAATCCAGAACTAAATATTAGAGAATAAATGTCAGAAATTATGTCATTCTGTGTACAGATACATTCTTCAGCAACATAAACATACATGGTATTTATTTATCAGTCATTACTGTGTAGAAATAAATGTTCCAAGTATTTGGGAGAGAGGGTCAGCAGCAGTAATGATGAGCAGATGAGTGATGGTTTTGTTGATTGATCTCCTGCAGAATGAATCGTTTCCCTTCTGAGAAGCTGCACGGTGGCGTGGACAGAGAGCTGCTGAAGGAGAGGGATGTTATTAAGGGAGTGGCGTCTCTTCTGCAGCGTGTCGTCGAGCAGATCACGGAGCAGATACGGTAGGAACGTGAGACCGTGATTATAGAATCGCTATAAAGGGATCTGAAAACAGTCACATTTAATACACGTTTGCCAGTAAATCAAGACCAAATCTGTTGTTATGTTTTCCAGACTGAACCGATCTGCCAAGTACCATTTAGAGCAGGATCTGAAGGAGAAGTCTGAGGCCCAGTGCATCGACAGCTCCTGTGCCCTAATGACCTCCCATTCTATCAACAACCTGCAGAGGTCCAAAAACACCAAGACCGCTGCGCCTAGGTGAGCTACCGGGCCTGGTTTCATCCATAAAGACAGGAAAATATCCAAAAGACAATATGTTTAAGTGCATGTGTAGGAGAGGGCTGGGAAGTCCACTTCAAGGCTTCTGCATAGATCTGGAAAGTCAGGAAATGTGCACAAAGACAAGTATTGAGTTCCAGGTCTTATAGGTTTTTCTACATCTCTCAGCTCGGCAGTGACTCCAAAGTTCTGGGAGAACATCTCAGACATAAACATCGCAAAGGCGGAGCACCAGAAGACCAGCTCTCTGTCCCTGAAGGTCCTGGTGGAGTCTGTCCTGGAGCAGACGGCTGCTGACATGCAGAAGCAGGTCCAGGCGACCACAGCAGCCTTTCAGCTCCACATCCAGGACGTCAAGAATGCCAAGAGCCAGATGGAGGAGAAACTGCCAAAGGTAGGACAGAGTGTGTGGTGTTTGATGTATCTGGCAGACTCTGAGAGCTGTGAGCCGAGACTAAATCAGAGGCGTAAATAAAAAGCGAATGTAAGAGTTAAGGACAGACACGTGGATGATTGACTCTTTTCTAGTGGGAAATGAGATCTCCACTTTAAATGTTATAGTCTCGCATCAGCGTATCGAATCCAGGAGATATAAATATGTGTGCTGAATTTGATTTGAATTTTGAATGCTGTTGTTTTGCTGCTGATTTTATGTTGGTGTTGTTTTTTGGTGTAGTCATTTCCCTGACGTCTTGTACCCAAGGGATTCATAAAGTTTTATTCTAATTCTATAATGTTCCTGCCCCTTATGCCAGAACAACATGCATAAAATGTGGATTAAGAGTAGAATAAATTGGGCCCATGGAGCAATTTGCTTCACACGTAGTCCAACACATGTACATAGAATACGTGACACGGACACACAGCACGAGATGGTATGAGTCCTGGTGAAGGAAACAGGGACAGAATGACATGTGGAGGTGGATTTGTATTTAAATAAACAAATAGCAGATGGGACAAAGGACAATCTCTTTTTATAAATACTGAAAACACAGTTTCAAGAGTTTAATTATGAAACGCTGAGTCGTGAGGACAATCCAGCGGAGTCGAGGGATCCATGGCTTGGATGACTAGTGGATGTAAGAACAAAAGCTGAAACGAGAGAGGGAGGATCAGGAGAAGCACAAGGAGCAGGGAAATGACACCATGTTGTTTTTGTCTGTTTTTATTGTATTGTCTAAAAACTGGTTTAAAACTATTCAGACCAGTGACTGACTTCCATTCAAACAGCAAGTGTGCTGCACAAAGCCCACGTTTTGCCGTTATGCTGCTACAAGGTAATGCTAAGAGCTAAGATGTAGAGTAGCAGGAGCACAGTTTGGAGGAAGAATGAGGTCTGCTCTGTAATGTGGCATACACACTAGCCCATGTAAGGCTGTAGGAGCAAAATCCCAGCGGCCGTTGAATTGACCATGGACGTGTTTCATGGCCAATAAATTCAGCTTGTCATGTGTAACAGGAAGACTGTGTCTGCCTGAAGGTGTGACCCATCCTCAGGTGTGTGAGTGCTGACACCAGTGACAGACAGGTCATGGTTCATCTCCACCTGGGTGTGAGGAAGAGTTTTTAGGCCTTCTGCATGGTCATCCTGTTGAAACTACAAGATGTAAAATCTACATGACAAAAGACTGCGAGTTCTCCTTTATTCCTAGAAATGAGAAACGGTAACAGGAGCGTGTGGATGTGATACCAGATATGAATGATCACAGCAGTCCCACATGAAGTATTGCAGTCAAAACAACTCAAGTCCAGGTTTTCTCATGTTAAGCTGACCCTGGTGTGACACCTCTGTCCCCTCTAGATCCTGTCTGAGATTACCAGCCAGCAGAGGATCAGGGAGGACCTCCAAGTGGCCATCACAGAGAATGAGCAGTGTTTGAGTTTGGCTCAGGCCCGGCTGGCGCTGCGCCGCCAGAGGCCTGGCAAAGAGCAGTGCTACGATGCAGTACAGTCGCAGCTCCTCGCCGAGGTCCAGCAGCTCACCGCTAACATCCGCAGGTAAGGCCAGCGCACTCTGGCTCTCATGTGAAGGGACAACGGAAGGAATGTATTTCAAGTTTTAAATGTTCTGGGCTGCTTGAGCTGCTGGTTTCCATGAGCTATGACCACCAAACATACAACACCAATACAACAAATGTGAAGAACTGAAACGTAGCAGCAGGTTTACAGTCAAAGCTGTGATAAAGTAAACATAAGAGAGAGCACTTCTTTATTGACACAGAAACCTCTCACATCGTTAAGGTCTGGGTTTATACGATAGTTAATGTTTGCTATCAAGCTTCTTTCCTTATTGTCTGATGTGTTTTTAGAAGATTTGACTGTGCAGGTAATCATTATGTGGCGTCTCTGTGCTCTCAGACTGCGTGAGGAAGTGGCCCGGTCCGAGGACGTGCAGAAGGCTCTGGTCCGCTGCCAGCTGGAGCTGCAGGAACACATCGAGGTGAAGGCCAACGCTCTCTACATCGACGAGGTCATCTGCTCCCAGCACAGGGAGCCCATCATCATCCACAGCTTCTGAGCAGCAGGAAGGTCTATGTGTGTGCAGGATTTGTTTAAAATGCAGTCAGATAAAATGTACCTGTAAGTTTCTATCAGTGTCTCCTTTTCACTTGATCTGAACATCGTCTCAGAGGGATTTGCTGTTGGTGTAGGAGTGGTGGAGCACTCACGCTGTCCTACAACAGCTCGTATTTATGTGTCAGTTTGTCGTATCTGACATTTAGTAAAACCCAGCTTCTTCATGTGAACCAGAATTAAAGAGAGATTCATCAGTTTCTAATCTGTCTAAAGCTGAGGGACAAGAAGAAGCCCTGAACATCTGAATCAGCGTTTGTTCAACTTTGGTTTGCTGCAGTTTCAAGGAAGAAATGCTGCAGCCACACTGTCGACTGCTTTCTTCACTCATGACTAGTCTTAAGGCATATATAGAGAACAAGATGTGGACAAGAAAACTTTTTAAAGTCTGCTTTAGCTACAGCCTTCCTGAGATGTTACTGGTGCAGCCGGATTCAGTCAATCACTAGTCTGAAGCTCGTTAGGTAATAATAAGGTCTGAAGGATTTTACATACAAACTTTAATCAAAGTGGATCTTTGGTAGATATATATATATATATAGACATTTTTTAAAAATGTAAGAACATGTGGGATTCAGACAGGTCAGCGGTGTTGTAGTTTGTAAGGAGTGGTGTTTTAATGAAGCAGCACAAAGCGGTTCATAGGTCAGCATTCATCAAGGCAAACAGACAAACGGCCGCACCAATGAAACTGTGACAAACCGATGATCAGGCCTCCCACAGCAAAGAGAGGTCAGCAGCACGGCTACATGCTAACGCTAGCCAGGCACACCAGGGCAGCTCGCTCCATGTTCTACCGTTTACATCCCATCAGCCACTTCTTCATCTGGAGTTTGGAGAAAAGACCATCCGGCCAGCTTGACATTATTCTGACATGAAAACTGCTAACGTGACCGTTCTCACTCCAGCTGTCCCACTGACTGTAGACGGATGCAGCTGGCAGGTTGGTGGCTGTAGTTCACAGACGGTGCTTCAGGAATGTCACGTTACAGTAAATGCAGCGTGTTGCTTTCTGAACTCGTATTGTCTTCACACAAAAACTAAAGGTTAATAAAACTAACTGTAAACACCCAGTGGAACATGAGAAAAGCTTCCAAAGGCCCGTAGTAGCTACGACTCCGTCTGACTGGAGTCCAGCTTCACCATCCGGAGGAGTTCCCTCTCTATTTCAGGAGGATGTGGATTCGGCACTTGGCCTAAAAGCACAGAGAGGAGAAGGGAAACCGGTTACTTGTGGAAATCTCTATCAGTGTGTAAATAAATACTGAACAATGTGTGACTCAGTAAGGCTACCTGGTGCCAGCGCAGCGTGATGAGGGGCAGGGCCAGGTGACAGTGTGGGCAGGTGCTGATGTGGTATGGGTCACCTCCACCTCGGCTGGGTCTGCTGGGCAGGGAGGCTGCCCTGAAGGTGCTGCTCAGCTGAGCAGTGGCTCCCTCCTCATCATCGCTGTCTTCCTCTTGAGCCTCGTCGTCAGCACACTCCAGCTGGTGTGAGGGATCATAGCAAGAAGCATTAGCTTGATGACTGCATGTGTAGAGTGGAAGTAGAATGTCTGGGAAGATTCTCAGTCATCCAGGTCATGGTTAGTGGTACTTAATGGTAGTTTAATCGGTTAATCAGAGAATTTTTCTTGAGTAAAAAGTTGATTTCATATGATGCACCACTGCTTAGTATAGTGCTGTCCCATCCTTCATCTGGTGTCACTGTGTTTATGGTGTTTGAAGTTCACAGTCTGGAGGAAAGTTCCAGGACTGGTGTCACAGGAGATATGTGTCAAACCCAAACTACGAGGTTTCTCCTTCAGA